TATGTGAATGGGCAGCAAGAGCCTTTTTCTTATACGGTGGACAAAAAGTATCAGGGATTATTCCTACAATTGATAGGCATAGCAATTTTCCTAATATACATACAGGTATTACTAAACATATATACACTCTGATATAAATAAGCAGAACAAAAAATAATAGTTAATTTTTATTTTAGCAGGAGACCTACGTTCATCAACACCTAGAGTACAAATTTTTGATACAAGACCTCAAGCATTTAGGCAACAACCACAAATGGGTCTAAATTCTGATGTTACTTTGCAACAATTTTCAGCAAAGCACGGAGGTTTATATTTGTATGTAGGAAGAATACTTCGACCTATATGGAATCTGCGTTGTATAAAACAAGAACTTGTAAACAATAAAACTCAGGTAACTAAATAGAAATAAATTACTATGACATCAGATAATATATAGATATAATTCTTGTATTATATTTTATAATGTGTTACAGATATTTAGTACAATTCCACCTAATCAAATTAGATGGATATTGAATCATCTACAAGCTTTAAGGTTTTTTCTTAACAAAAATACAAATATTACTAAGCAGTATGTATCACACTATTACATAAGTCCTATAAATTTAATGTAAGCTGTATGTATATTTCTCAAATTATTATTACAGACATAATAGTACAAGAAGTATCACGGATGAATTTGAAACAACGTTACCTAATCTTTATCAAGAACCTATTGTAGAGGAAAGAAATTCCTTAGATGCTCTAAAAGTTTTTATTACTCATGCTTGTGAGGTGTTAGGTTTATGGGAGATTTTATGCGAGAACCAATTAAATAATATTATTAATTGTCTTTCTAAGGTAATTGTCGTTTGTTATAATTTTCTTATATTTTTTTCTAATCACTAATTTTATTTTCCTCTCCCTTTTCTTTAGGATCAAATTAGTCAATTTTCTACGGCCACGTTTAGGGATTTAATCTTAATTGGACATGAAATATCATCTTTACTTATCATTCATTTAATTGATAGGTATAATATATATATTATGTATATACATAAATATTTTAATTTTTCAATTACATTTAATTACAAATATTTTCAGTTATCTTGGCGACAATGCATCTATAGATGCAGTAAGTTCCAGATTAAGAGAGGTTTGTCCAAATTTGTATAGAAGTGAAGATGCAGTATGTTCAAAGGTATGCTAATTGTATGTATATATGTATTATTTTTATCAAAATAATATTTTGAAAATATTTAATTTACATTTCTATACTTTATAATAATAATTATTTTTAATAAACATATTTACAACAATAAATTGTAGGCAAATGAAATAATATTGAAAGCAAAGAATTGTAAAAATTCAGATGAGAAACAAGTTTATTTGCAATCTGCATTAAAGGTAAAAAATATTAATATATATTTCTTATTTATAAAATTTAATTAAATTTCAATATAAACTAACTATTGATTTTTCATATGCAGCTTTGTAAAGAAGTAGCACCAAGATTAAATTTAAGTGCCGTGTGTCAGCAATTTGTGGCTTGCCAGTTTTATACAGGAGTTCTAGAATTATGTATCTGCTGTGCAAAAAGAATAGATCCTCATAATGCTGCATTACATTTTTATAAAAATAATGAACCTGTAGAAGATCAAGAAGGAAATATGGCTTATATAAAACGGTATGATATTTTAATCATTTTTATTTATCAAATAAAATGACGTGATTATGAATAATACATTTCATATATGTATACATATATATAAATATATATCTTTTTTATTATAGATTAGAAATTTACAAAGAATTTACTTCAATGTTGGATCACATTTTTAATCAGAACATGTCAAGTCCGTTAACACCAACTATACCAAGTAAACCGGGACCAGCTCTACATAATACTTCTGCTGTACCAATAATACTTACAAAAGACATAGTAAGTTAGTCTAAAATAAGATATGTTAATGAAATATTAATATGTTATACCAAAAATCATAGAGACAGAGGGAAAAATACATGTTGCATTAGATATACATATATATGTACTGTTTGTTTCTGAGAAAAAGTCTCTGGGAGTAACACAGGGGCAAAAGAAGTTTCACGGCAACTGTAGATAAAAAAAACATTTGAACATTTTTAATATTTCAAATATTATACTTTTTAGTTATATGAGATTATAAATGATGCATTACATTCCCCTTGTGAAATACTTCATACTGCGGTATATATATGGATGATTGAAAGAGGACTACACGGAGAACTTGTTGCTCTTGCAGCATCTTCATTAGAAACTTATTTGAGTCGTGTTAATGCACCCGAATTACTTTGGCAATTTTATGAAAGAAATAAAAATCATGCTGCTGCGGCAAAAATTTTAGATTCTTTGGCTACTAAACCTTCGTACGTATTTATATATTTTTATATTTATATTTTATTTATTAAAAGTTTATTTAGTTTATGTATGCTATACTAAATTTAATATATCTTTATAGTTCAGAGATATCATTGTCAGAAAGAGTAGAATATTTAGCACGTGCAGTTGTTTGTATGCGAAGTGATCAAGCCGGTTATGCACCTTATCTTGGAATTTTCTTACGTGAATTAGAAGATAAATTAGAGGTTGCTAGGATACAACAACAAGTAAGTTATATGATCTATTAAATACAAATAATGTTATATTTGTATCAATATATATAGATATATAAACAATATTTATATATTTTTTAATTATTTAATAGATACTAGATACGATCTGTAGCCAGCAACATATTTTCGATCCTGTGACTGTCCGTGATGCTAAGTTAAAGTTGAATTCTTCGTTACTCGATATTACACAGGTTTGTAAATTTAATAATATTTGTATTAATAAAATATTAATTTGAAAATTAACAATTCATGTATTTCTTTTGATAGCTTTATGAGGAATATGCAGAACCTTTAGAACTTTTAGAATGTAAACTTGCTATAATTCATTGTTCCGGACACCAAGATGCAATGTTAATTCAAGGAATTTGGACCAATATAATCAACAATGGTATTTATTTTTAAGACACATATATAGAGCACCTATTTCTATTTTAATATGATTAAATTTGTAATTGCATTTTTAATTTTAGAATTAAAAAATGCTGAAGCGTCATCTCCAGAAGATAAAATGGCGATTCTAATGACCAAAGTTAAGATTCTTGGTCAAGAATATTCAGGATCACCACATTGTTTTCCGATAGGTAGGCAATCCAAAAATATACGAAAAACATTAGAAATTTATTAAAGACTAATAAATCGAATGAATTAATTCTTCTTTCAGAGTTCTTAATAGAACAATTGGAAATAAAAGCATGTAAATTAAAAACTTCAAATAATTGTATTATTACAGTATTTTTAAAGTTAGGTGTATCGATGGAAGATCTTTTAGATTACTATGATAAGTATGTATAAAACTATTGTGATAAGTATTTCTGTTCAATACAAAATTAAAATAATACTCATATTACATAATTACTTTACATTTTTTTTCTTTTAGGATGATTGGAAAAAATACACGTATTTGGTTAAACAAAGGAAATGAATTCCATTTAATAGATTCCACTGCAAATTTAATCAATTACATTATCCAAAATCAAAATATTACTAATTCTTTTAACAGGTAAACGATTTTATTCTTATAATATTAAAAAAAACATTGGTTTATTTAAAATTGACGTAAAAGAAGTACCTGTCTACTCTTTCCCTTTTTTCTTTTGTTTTCAGAGAAAAACTAATAGTTAAGTGCCAAGATGTTGTCTCTAAGTGTCTAACAATTTTATTTAGTAAACCTAATAGTGAACATCTAATAGCAAAACTTAGATCGATGCGAATGTAAAATTAATAAATAATTCACAGTAGGTACAAATTAAGATAATGCATAAATAAGTATTTTTTGGAGATCTGGACATTTAACACAATAATTTTAAACAATTGTACATCTTCTTGGGATAAGAGCCATAAAACTAATTACTGTTATCAAACAGTAAGACTGTTTTAAAATTTTTTGTATTTTTTAATGTCAATTTTCTTGCAACATATATTACCGAACTATTTTTGAAAAATGATCGAATTTAATAAAAACTGTTTATCATTTCTGCTCATTTTTAGGATACAGAAACCTATTATCCTATATTAACCTAGAATCCTACTTCCTAAGGAAGAATGCTATGGCAAAAGAAAAAGATCATGAGTGAGTTTGATATAATATCAATATATTAATATTTATATATGTATTATGTTTCAATAAATATTTTCTTGTACAACTTCTTCTTCAGCTTGATATTCGTTATTTAGTTATAATTAAAATTATTGTATTATTCCTGTAATAACAATAGCAAAGAGATACCATAATACACAAATCCAATGAAATAAGATAAATTGAAAAAGTATTACCTGTGTAATCCATAGGTTAAAAACATTTTGTGTTTCGAGTAAATCAACGATAACGAGAAACATTTGAAAGTGTTCTAAGAAGAAAGAAATACTAGGGAATCCTACTGTGTGTCCCATAACTATGAATTATTTTCAAAAAGAAAAACACCCACATAAATGACCACATCGAAATATGAAAATAATATGTAATAATATCGTAGTTTAAAATATTACATGACAAACGTGATTGATATACAAGGTTTTTTTTATGTAATAGAGAAATGATCTAAATATTACTGTGGTTTAAACTGTTCTTATACGCAATTTGATAAATTGTTGGAGAACTATATTTCTCTAATAAATAGAGCATAATTGAATATTATTTACAGACTACCATTTTTCTATATTAACAATAACAACTTTAGTAGTATCAATTTTGCCGAAGAAAATTGTTAACTAAAGCTGAATCGATCGAAAGTGAAATTACACAGTAAAGAAGGAAAATTGTCGCTCATTATTTCCTTGACACTCTAAATAACAGCTAAGTAACATATTATACAAAGTTGATATCTTAAATCGATACTAATATCCACAGCTTTCAAATAAATTCTCGAAGTTGTTCATTGCACGATGGATTTCTTTGAGCAACGATACTACGTATTAAATAAACGTTTAATGTCTTATTTTGGTATGTGGCCATTAGACAATTCTATAAGAAGTAAATTATTATTCTATTTTGTTATATTTATCTTTTTTACTATGTACGTGCCAGAGGTAAAAAAATATAAAAACAGACAAAAATAATATTTTGCCGAATGAATGGCCCCATAGTCGTTTTATCAAATTGAAAAATTGTAATCATTTTGTTAGCAGGTATTTGAAATAACGGCATCGTGGACCCATACTGTTTTAATAACACTATAACTGAAGATTTAAATAATGAAATGAAAAACAAAATATTCTATATATATAACTTTATTAATAAATTAATATTTTTTTTTCATTTTCTTTTACTCTTTCTTGATAAAGCGACTTTCGGGTCACCATGCTTACGAATGAATATAATATAAAAAAAAACAAAATCTTTCTATATAGAGTATGCCAAATTTATTTAATATAAAATTATTTATAATATTTATTTTTCTTTATTTCAGGTAATTAAAATAATCGAATTAGGGACAACTGATATGGATGCTTTCATTGAATGCATACCCCCCATACTGGTGATTAATTGTTCTATGATAAAAGCATTTAATGTCGGTTATCATATGAATCATGTAATGTTATATATTTTATAATTTAATATATACATGTATATAGTATGTGTGTATTGTTTATATTAAAATAAATGATACAGATATATTTTAGTTTATAAAATATGATATAAATATATTATTAAAAATTATTTATATTAATTTATTTTAAAATAATAATATATTATTTCATTTTATAAACACATTACTTAATATTTCATAGTTTCAAATTCTTTTAAAACATATTGAAAAAGATTGGAAAGGTTTGACAGATGTTAAAGAAATGGCAATTCTTTCAACATATTCTGAATCCGGGCGGAAATTAACAATATGGTATACGTGTATGTTAAAATCAACAGATAACTATTCCAATTGATACAATATTATATATATATCATATACGCGTATTTTTACAATATATTAATATTTATTCTTTTATATTCTCTATTCACAGTATACATAAGTTTGACAACTACATTATATTTATCAATACCTTTATCACCGGTCGTTCTTAATATTGTATCACCGTCAAACGTGTCACGAAAAATGGAACTTCTTTTTTGTACGGAATTTTTTGTAGCCGAAGAAATATACTTTAATGAAATTTTGTTCTACGATTATGCAATTACATTATTAGTAATTGCAGTTTTAATTGCAACAGACACACTGTACATAGTATATTCAGAACATGCTTGCGGTATATTTGCGATTTTATCGTAAGTGTTTTCAATATATTTGTACGCATCTTTCTAAAAAATATATATCATTAATATTTACAATCATTTTTTTGTAGCTATCGATTAAATAATGTAGGTAAATGCAAGAATATCGACGAAAGATATGACAACAATGTGTTTAATAAAAAAAAATATCATAATTACGATGAGAAACAGGACGAAGAAAATTGTCAAGAGCTTTCATTTTGTGTCAAAAGACATAAATATGCCATTGAGTAAGTAATATAATCTTTTGTTCTTCTTCTACCCCTTCTATTCCACTTTTTTTTATATGAATATATTGATACAACATTAATATAAATATTTTACGATATTATTTTAATATAATCATTGTATTAATACTACTGTTAACCATTAGAAATGAAAATTATACTAATTGACATGCAATGAGAATTTAATTCTTTTTTAAAGATACGTTGAATTACTCCAAAAATGTTACGCAGAATCTTTAATGGCGTTATTATTACTTAATGTAATAGGCATAAGTATTACAGGAGTTCAAGTAAGTACTTCGTAAGTTTTTTCTATCTGTATAAAGGACAAAGTTATAATTCGGTTCAATTAATGAAGACAACCAGTATATTTTTTATTTAAGAGTTTTAATTTCTTTTTTCTTATTTTTTTCAGACTATAATCAATATACATAGTTTGTCAAATGTATTTAGATTTGGTTTTTTAACACTAGGTGAAGCATTTCATCTTTTTTTCTTAACACTACCGGGTCAAAGGATAATTGATCACAGTCTTAAGGTATTTGAAGATTGGTAAGATGATTGTAGAGAATTTGTAAAAATATAAATAAATTATATCTTATACATAAAAAATGATATATATATATTTTTATATATTTTTATATATTTAGTTATGAGTCATATTGGTATAAACTTTCCACGAAAGGCAGAAAAACACTTGGTTTAATATTATTACGTAGTATGACACCATGCCAATTAATGGCTGGTGGTTTATATTCTATGACATTAGAAAATTTTGTTTCGGTAAGAATTTTTATTAAATAATATAAAATATAGTATTTATATATATATATATAATATTAACTCTTCGTATATTTTTTTCTTTTATTTATTTATTTATTTTCCTAAAGTTAGTTCAAACGGCTATGTCTTACTTCACGGTATTATCATCGGTACGATAAAATCTTAACATTTCTACGTAAAAATGCAACCATAAGCAAATTTAGAGCCATCATTTCGGTAAAAAATCTCTATGTATTAAAATTAATGATTAATTGTAATAAAATAGTAATAAAAGAATTTTACCGTAATAGAAAATTTATAAGGTATATAAATAATATCTAAATAAAAATGAAAATAATTTTTTAAATAATATTAAAAAATTACAAAATGTGTTTAAAAGAAAGAGAAAGAGAAAGAGAGAGAGAAAAGAAAATAGTAAAATACAGAAAAAAAAAAACATTAAAACGACAACCATATCGATTAATGTATGTATATAAATACTATATAACTATCTTTTACTCTCTGTTATCAATTTTATTATCGGACAGAAACACCGACACCGATATCCGAGGTCATTAACTTCGATAATAATAAATTATAATATTTCCTGATTTTGTAGGTGTTTATTTAATTAATTCTATTAATAATTTTATATTAATTATTATTTTATTTTCATTTAGTAATCCAATTAATTATTTTCAAATAGTATGTTTAAAAAGTCTTTTATATATATCTGAAAAAAAAAAATTATTATTTCATATTTTTTCGTGTTTATGAAACAATAATTAATAATATTTATGATCGGTTTTTATCTCATATATAAAAATGATGTCTATGATATTGAAAAGGTAGAAGAAAGAGGTGAGACCAACCATGAAAAGGATGAGTAATAATTAATAAAGTTAATAAAACTTTATTTCAACAACTTTCGACTAATTGCAAAATAAATAGTATAATTTACAGTCTTGTTTTATTACCTTGTAATTACTGTAATGTTTGTCGATCTATATTCGAAAATTACATTTCTCCGTGAAAACGATATAACTTACGATTCAGTAACGAGCTTGACTGTAAAATAGTACGTTTCTACCAATATTTCATACACAATCAATCATAATTATAAAATATTTTCAAATTGTTCGTGTCGTCAAAGTAAATAAAATGGATTTATTCGATGATCCTTTATATAAAATTAATAAATTTTTATTATGTTGCATTGGTCTTTGGCCGTATCAACCTTTCATTCAACGAATTATTATACACACTTGTTTAATTATTCTAATACTCTCTCTTGTTATACCGCAGGTATCTTATAATTAATTATTTATATTATATATATGTTTTTGTTACTTTTATTATAAAATATCTAACTATTTGTGTGTGTATATATATAAAATCAAATACGAATACATACGTTCTTCTACATATACTAATATACACAAATAGATATTCAAATTATGGGATGTTTTGGACAATATAGACACTACGATTGAATGTTTGACTCCTCTTTTAACTGAATCAATGATTATATGCAAAGGATTCAATTGTAAAATTAATATTCACAAGGTAAAAACTTTATTGAGAAAAAAGAAAAAATTACTTTAGAATTTTAGTTTAATAATTAATATTTTTGTTTTATAGATGAGAAAACTTTTGAAACAAACGCAAGTGGAATTTCAATATTTAATCAAAGAAAATGACGCTGTTATTTTTAAAAAATATATTGAAGAAGGTAAAAAGATGACTATTATATATACAGGTACGTCGGTTTTTTTTTATTTGATAAAAATACGATAGGAAAATATCCAATTTTTTTAATAATTATTTTTTGTTTTAATTACAGTTTCTATATACTTCGTAGCATTGACATATATAATATTACCATTAACACCTAAAATTCTTGACATAGTTATTCCTCTTAACGAAACACGACCGATAAAATTTATATTTTATGCAGAATATAATGTCGACGAAAAAAAATATTTTTGGTATATTTTGATGCACGGATATGCCGTTTCCGCTGCAAGTATCTCAATTTTGATAGCGACTGATACATTAATCGTACGTTATGTGCAACACGCTGTTGCAGTCTTTAACGTTATTGGGTATGTAATTATTATAATAATAAAGATATAATATTTATATATATTTTATTTATATTTATTTAAGATACCGATTGCGAAATCTTAAGAAATGTGTTAAAAAAGATAACGGAAGTAATAATAATATTTCAATCAATGATAAAATCCATTGCCACATCATTAATTGTATGAAACAACATCAAAATATATTACGGTAAGTGTAAACAAAAATTCGTTATTTTTAACTATAAATATAATTATGAAGTAATTGTATAATTATATATATTAGATTTACAGATCTTCTTGAATCTACTTATAGTCATCAAATATTCTTTGAAATTTTCATTAATATGCTATTAATGAGTATTACTGGAGTACAGGTACTACATTGTAAAAGAGAGTTACATATTAATGTTAATATTTTATAATTATTAAATTTTCAGACTGTTATGAAATTAGGAGAACCGGACGAAGTTATTAGATTAGGTTTTTTCTGCATAGGTCAGGCAATTCATTTGTACTTTGTAAATATTCCAGGACAAAAATTAATTGATCACAGTGTTCTTTTAACTGATTCTGCGTAAGAGAAGAATTATTTTTAAAAATGATTTTAATTTTTTTATTTCTATTTATGCAATGTTTTCCAGTTATTTCGGAGAATGGTACGACGTGCCACCAAAATCAAGAAAATTATTATCGATGATTATACTGAGAAGTTCAAAACCTTGCAAATTAACAGGTGGAAAAGTTTTGGTGTTATCGATCGAGAAATTTAAAAATGTAAGTATATATTTTAATTTTTAATAGGCACTCTCTATTATATATATAAATTATGAAAATAAAGCATCAAGTATTCAATTTCAAGGTACTCCGAGCATCTATATCATATTTTACAGTACTTGCTTCATTGAAAAAATAATCGAATATTGAGGTATAACTCCAACACTATCGTTAATAAAAAATTCTCATTGTAATGATGTTGCTTTCCAAATAACAATAGAAATAAGTATATTTTATTTTTCACAGCTATATTATACAATAAAATATTGAATATTTTCAATGTATGAGTTAAGTACTTTATTAGGTTTTTATAAATCGCGCACATTTTCAAATATTTCAAATGAGAACAAATGCAATAGTTAAATAACCAATAGTAATAGAAATATAAAAAAATACGTAAATCAAATACATATAATTTTATCAATTTAATCTCATATTAATTCAATTTTATATATATATAGAGTAATTAGAATAATGTCATATTCAATAAATATTAAAAATAATTATACATATTATTTAATTACAAGAATTTAATTGTAATTATAAATAACAATCTCAATTGTTAAAGTATATCCTACGTGGTATTGGATGAAAAATGAGCACGCACCAATCAGAAACGTTCTTGTAAAAAAGCAACCTTAATTCTGATTGGTTAGCCATGAATGACATGATACATATGAATAGATAGAAAAGGCAAGACTCAGACAACATGCAATCATTTTCATTGGTGTATCATTGAAGGTTAATTTTTATTCTGCACCAATATCTTCGGCATGCATCAGGGTGGGTCACGTTGACATTGCCGTTTATTTACTGCTTAGGATTGTAATTTTTTTTTTTCACTTTCACTCATTGATAAAATAAATATATATGTATATATATGTATCGATATACAATATAAACGTGTAATAAAGTTAATAAGATTTTGTCAATGTCATAATATATAAATGGTGTTTTCGAAAATGAACGCTAATAAATAGGTTCGTTTTTAATCATCTCTAAATTGACTGACAAAAGTTATATATGATAATATTTACAGTGTAGGATAGTAGTCATACTTGATATAAAATTTAAATATTCGTTGCATTTTATCTACATATACACATTTATAGTATATAAATATATCGATGAAATATCAATCGCGCTTTTTCTATTAGAATTTTAGCATGGCTTCATTGTCCTTACGAATATTACAACAAAGAAAAACTAATTTGGATTTAGAACGTAAAAACATCGGCAAATTACAGGTATGTTTTCATTATTATTATATCTTTATTTTAAATGTTATTATTTGATTCTTGTGTTTATATTTTGTTTTCTTTATTTTGTTTACACAATATTCCAAATCTAACGTTTATTTATCTATAACACATTTTTGTATATAAATTTATAAATTGATAATATGGTAGAAATTTATCTACGTTTATCTATGTTTTCCCTTATTCGTTCTTCGATAAGTAATTGTTATCAGTACATTTTCCCATTCCTTATAAAATTTGTATCAAATCTAACTCTTCAGTTATATGTGACTATAATATTTTTCTTAATTATGTTTGAAATATTTTAATTTATTAATATTAAATACTGACCATTATATCATATTCATGGGATAGAAAGGTGTATTTTTAATAATCAAAACTCTGACTATTTTGTTTTATCAATATATTATGCTTTAAAATATGACAGATATTATAATGAAACTTGTAATGCTTCGAATATATTTATTTTATATATATGTTATTAATTTTCTATATTAAACAAAAAATTTATTCTTTTTTGTGCATATAGTTTTGCAGATAATGTGTACAGTTATTGCAGCATTTGATCCACCCACATATTGTATTTTGGGTGAGCGATAAGTCAATAAATGATGATCTGTTATATGTGTTGATTATTATGCTATTATATTTGCTATAATTTCTTGTTATAATCATTTTGCTCTATTAATATGCCACCTGTACTACCATTAACTGATAAACAACTGCATCAACTGGTAAGTAAACACATGTGTGTTTAGTAAAAAATAGTTTAATTATATAAATAAATATAACACTTACGTAAAGCTTAATATAATACATATAAATATATATAATATATTTTTTTCTACTGGTCTACATTTGTATTGTAGTATATTTATAATGAGATTAATTAAGTTTATATATTGTTTGTATTATTTTATAAATAATAATATCTATTTGCAGATCATTAGTATTGGAAAAGCAGTGAATCCATCTGAAACCCCTGTTAAAGAAAAGCATGTACGCAGTATCCTTTTATTTAATACATTACTAAGAAATGTATTAACTTTCAATATCGTAATATATATATAGAATGATCCTTATTAAATAATAGATGCCATTATCAGCACATATCAAGATAAAAGTGGTTCTATATTTTGGACGTTTATACTACGGCAACCTTTATTTGAACATCAAATCGTTGCATGGAAATTTTGCCATGTTTTACACAAAGTATTACGAGAGGGCCATCCAAAAGTAATCAGCGATTCCCAAAGATATTATGGTAAATTGGAAGATATTGGAAAACTATGGCAACATCTTCGGGAGGGTTACGGCCGTCTTATTCAATTGTATATACGATTATTAATTACAAAGTTAGATTTCCACAAACGCAATCCACGTATACCTGGAAATCTTCAGGTTACTGCCGAAGAACTCGAAGCGATTGGTGAAAATGACATAAATATTTAGTAAGTTTATTTTCTATAATATAAACAATGTTTTCTAAACTTACACATCATTTATATATTGTTCTTTTTTTTTCCTTTCTTTAGTTTTCAAATGTCAGTGGAAATGTTTGATTATATGGATGATATTTTAAATTTACAACATACAGGTATTTTTTTGACTAATATTTGAATAATAATAATAAATATTAAAATAATGAAAATGTTACTTACATTAATAAATTACAGTATTTGGATCATTGGATATGTCACGTTCAAATTCAATGACACCATGTGGACAGTGTCGACTTGCACCATTAATTCCGTGCATTCAAGATGCATCTAAATTATATGATTATTGTGTTAAAATTTTGTTCAAACTTCATGGTGCATTACCTGCGGATACATTAACAGGTCATCGCGATAGATTTTCGAAACAATTTCAAGAACTGAAAGGTTTTTATAATACTATTAAACACATGCAGTATTTTAAACATTTAATAACAATACCATCCTTACCAGAGGTAATTTTTTTTATTAATTTATTATTAAATAGTAAATACACAATGGCGCGCAGTTATAATAAAAATATTATATGCTTCTAATTACAGAATCCACCAAATTTCCTAATACAAGCTGAATTAAGAACATATGTTACACCAATTGTTGTACTACCTCCAGAGGAATCATTGGATAGTGAAACCGTAGTTGATAGTCTTATTGATACATCAGATACAAGTTCATTACCAGGTGATCAATTGGATTCTTCTCGGAATGGATCTATTTCACCCGATGCATTAACAGAAAGGTGATTATCTTTGATAACCATTTATACTTACAAATGAATTATGTATAAAGTTTCTTAAAAATTACTTTCACATAGTCACATGATTAAAATTATTATAGGGATAATCTTATTAAACATTTACATCAAGAAAATGGACGACAAAGACAAGAACTACATAAATTGCTTACAGATCATCAACGCATTGTTGGAGAACTTCGAAATCGTGTTTTAGATTTGGAATCTGCTCTTAGTACCAAAGTAAAATTCTTTCAAAATTTTACAATGAAGATGATATAGATTGAAATTATATAACTCTGATTATACATTATTTTCTATTTTAGGGAAATGAAATTGTATATGAAAAGCAAACAAATCAAGAAATAACTAAACAAAAGGAAGATGTGTTTGTTCAACTTCAGGAAGTTAAAGGTATATTATAAATCAGTATTTGTATTTACGAACATAACATTTTATTATTATTATTTTTCTTTTTTATTATTATTATAGAAAAAAATAGGATAGTCGAAGAGAAGTTTCATAAACTTAAAGATATATATTCCAAACTAAGAGAAGAGCACATTGATTTAATTAGAAAGGTATGCATACAAATGATTTGAAATATTTTGTGTTTCATTTCTTTTTGCTTTATTTTTGCTAACTAAATATATTGTGTTTAAAAGAAAGCTGATGTAGATAAACAATTGGGTGGAGTAAAAATACAACAAGAGCAATCGGAGCGCAGAGCTGTTGAAGCAGAACAACGTTTACAAGAATTAATACAAGGACAAGCTACTGCTGAACAAGAAGCACAAAGAGTTGCTCAAGCGAGGGCAGATTTAGATGATGTAAGAAAAGAATTTGATGCTGCTAAAACTCAAAATTTGGTTAGTATAAGACTATTAATATTTTTTATTTATCATTACTATTATTACTTTCGTTACAATAAATGATTTAATATATTAAATGAATAAAATTATGCCTTTAAAATGGTATTTCAGGCTTTAACAGCAAAAATAGATTTTATCGCATCTGAAAAAGCAGCTGTTGAAGGTAGTCTTCACGATTTGTTAGCACAAAAAGAAGAGTTAGACCAAAAAATAATAAATTTAGAATCCGAAACTGTACGATGGCGTAACCAAATGAAAATAGATGCTGATACTAATCTATTTGAAATAGTTTGTGAGTTTTTCGTATATTTTCATATATAATATTATAATAAATATATTTTATAAAAACTAACAAATCGCGACATAACTATTTTAGTGAGCTGTATATGCGGAGCAGAGTCTATTTTGCAGCATGCAATGCATACGATTGATAATCCAGCAATAACTGCTGTAACTTGTACACCGGATTACCTGAGAGAATTAGTTAATCCAACCTTGGATTCGCTGGATGCTTTAAATGCATCATACAACAGTTATGTAAGTGATGCTACAAAGGGAAAAATGTTAATTCGCAGTACAACTTATGCTGCTTATATGCTTGCATTATACTTGATACATGCCAAATCTACTTCAAATACAGCAACAGATATTGTCTTTGGTGATAGTAAGTCTTTTTGATCAAATTTTGCATCAAACTAAAACTATTAATTCAAGATAGTTATATTAATCCATACACTATTTTTTCTGATGGATAAATAGAAAAAATATTTCTATATTAT